TGTTCTTTTTGTATCTTGCAAATTACTAGAAAAACTAAAATGCTCTGCTTATTTCAAAAGTGAGATAGTAAAAAATTTTTTTAAAAATTTATCTTTGTGAGAAAATGGCCAGGTCAGTAGGCTAAAATGATGGTTACCTACATCAGTGGCACTGTGCAGGCTTCCCTACAGTATGGAAGTTAATCATTATAACAAAAGATGTAGAGTGCAAAGTAGGTTTGGGCACTAGTATTTTGATATTTTAAGTGTAATATATAATTGTGAAATCTTCTATTATTTGCCCATATTCCAGATAGTCCAAATGAGAATAACTCAGTCTCTCTGGAATACTTGCAAAAAGAGCATGAATAAACAATGCATTTAAACATTGAAAAGCAGCAATAGACCTCTGCACAGAAAACTAAAACCAAAGGCAGCGTATATTGGCACAGTCTCTGCAAGGCTTTCCCTAACACATCGAAAATTACCCAACACGCACCGGCACTAATCCCTCTAATACCCCTCCTGCCACAGGGAGTTCTGTCTGCTCCTCCAAAAGCTTCCAAAACGTTCCAAAATTATTCACCGCCTCTCCCCCTCACTAAGCTATTTCAGTAAAACAACAAATTGGAAAAGACATCACAATTTGCAAAAACCAAGTCATTGCATTTTGAATGATAGGCTGTTAGTCACTTCCTCAAAGGACAATATGCACCAACGTGCTTTTGAGCTGAAGAAACATAGTGAGTAACTCATTAGCAAAGAAAAAAGAAGAGTTTTCAAATCCAGCCCAGTCAGTGGTGACAAAGCCCGATGCCATCTGATGAGAGTTCAGAGCTTAGACACAACAAACATGGTTGCCCATTTCCTGCTGGTAAGATTACCTCTATCACAAACACAGCCCTTGCCATGAATGGAGTCAATTGTCTGTACAACGAACCAACGCAAGGGTAGGAATGCAGATGGAAGTGTTAGGAGATGGTTCCTATGGGACTGGTTTCAGAGAAACAGGGAATAATCTTCCCGTTTGCAATCCTCTGCTCTCAATCAAGCTGTTCTTCTCATCTGCATGGTAGCCTCATCACTAGGAGAAGTGTCTCTCTCCATCAGTCCTCAAGTAACATCCCAAACTACAAGATATTTGACTTGTCATTAACCAAACTACACTTGAATTGTATCACAAGCAAGCTAACATTACTGCATACTGAGAACCATTCATCACTAGAAAGGTATGTCGTAAGTAAGGTAAGAAAAGGTGACAAGACCGTGTAGTTTCACGTTCTCCATAACAAAGACATGTCAGTCGTGCTGAGCCTTGAGGGGTGCTTGAACAGTAGAGCAAAAGGTCTCAGCTGGTGACAGGGTGCTTCTTACATCCCCTACATCCAATAGTTTGTTGTTCAGAGCAAGAAAAAAAAAACATTCTTAGAAATAAGGGCTTTGATGTATGTTGTCTATGGAGGAGGCAAATGGATCACACTGTTGGTGTATGTAGAAAGACTCCAAAGGTGCACTTACAAAGGACAGGATATCCATGAAGTGTTTTCTTGAGAACTAGAAGAATATTTTGTTTGTCCTTTTTAAAAAAGTGGGGCATTAAACTGAACTAGCAAGAAGCAGGTTCAAAATGATAACAAAAAAATGAGATGGTTCTTCACACAACGTTTGGCTAAGCTGTGGGAGTGCTTGCCATAGGACATGGATGACAAGCTCATTTGTGTTCAAAGGGATCTGGACGATGTGATGGAAATGCATCAGAGGTTTCTTAATATACAGAAGCAACCTTTAGCTCAGGGAGTTCTCGTGCTGAAAATAGGTTCAGGGCTGAGAGATTACCTGCAAGAATCATCACTCATGCCTGCCATGTTCTTTTATCCTTTCCTAGCCATTCTTTTCTGGCCACGGTCAGAGACAGAACGCTGGGTTGGATGGACCTTTACTCAGAACATAATAGCAGACAGGCTGAGTCAGATTATTTGCTTCAAACTGTATCTGTCTTTCCTGATCTTTACAAATTGTAAGGCTGTATTCACCTCATAGGGCTGTGGTACGCTACCACAAAGCAAAGCTATGATTTACCTTGCTAAGAAAAACACAGATATTTTCTTTCTCCTGCCATCACCTGGTACAACATGGGATGAAGTTTCACTGCAAGTAGCAAGTTTGTTCAGGTAAGTGGCAAATATGGAAGTCATTAATAACAAATAACCCATAGGGACTACTTATTTCCTCAAACGTGGCTTTGTATTGGATACCTGAATAGAACAGGAAGAATACTTACAGTTGCAAGGGACCTACAATGATCATCTAGTCCAACTGCCTGACCACTTCAGGGCTGAACAAAAGTTGAAGCATATTGTTAAGGGCATTGGGGCATTGACCACCTCTCTAGGAAGCCTGTTCCAGTGTTTGACCACCCTCTCAGTAAAGAAATGTTTCCTAATATCTAGTCTGAACCTCCTCTGACACAGCTTTGAAGCGCTCCCAGGTGTCCTGCCACTGGATACCAGGAAGAAGACATCAGCACCTCCTTTCTCCACATCCCCTCCTCAGGAAGCTGAGAAGAGCAATGAGGTCGCCCCTCAGTCTCCTTTCTCCAAACTAGACAAACCCGAAGTCCTCAGCTGCTGCTCACAGGACATTCCTTCCAGCCCTTCCACCAGTACTTTGTTGCCCTCCTCTGGATGCATTCAAGTACCTCAATCTAAAATACAGTCTCCTCTAGTAGACCAGACTACTTTAATCCCCATTTTAAAAGATATGCAATCAGAAAAAGCAGTGATTAAAAATTGAGGCTGAGCAAATTCTGTGATTTATCCATGAGCTATGAAAATGCATATTAACTTGGGGATTAAGGAGAAAACCAGACCTCAGAATTACCACTTCCAAGACAAAAACCACCAAACAGGGCAGTACAATTGCTCAATATACAACAGTTCTAATTTTGTGGATTCTTAAGCTGATGAAGCAACAATTACAAGTTACATCTTACTGACAAAAGGAGAGAGTTTTTCCCCAGACATTTATAAGATAAAAATTTATGGTCTGAGATAACATAATCTCCCTGTGTGATAATAATGTTTGCCTAACCAAAAAAAACCCCAAAACCTCTCCAGGGAGCTCATTCTGTTCCTTAATCAATTCAAGTCTCAAGTAGTAGATTATACACATGCTAGTAAATTCTTGTCATGAATTTCCAAGTCTTTTCTGAAGTGGGATACGCTGGCTGTCAGATGTTCATCCCCATTATACTTTGGCACAAAAGGAACAACTGAGTATTCAGTGGTAATGCCTATTCAAGGCAATTGGTTTGACTGCCCAATCTGCAGCAAACATGAGATGCCTTCCTTTGGCTTTCTTGTACTTTCTTACATATATTCCTACAATCCAATACTTTTGGATTTTAACATTTTTAAAGAAATATGGCATAGCAGACTGAGGATAAAATTTAGTTGAACAGCTATTCTGAATTCCCTCTAGGAGGTATATGTCTGAGAACATCAGTCTGGTCATTATTCTATATTCCTCTTGGACCAAGTCTGTCTTGGTCGTTATATTTTATTTGGATGTTAGTATACTGTTTATTTTCTACACTTAGCTGACGTAATTCAGTGTCTTCTTCCTGAGAAAAAGGCCTCTCTCTGGAACTTGGAATGACTGATTATTTTGTACTTGCTTATAGATTCACAAGTTGAAGAAATTTCTTTTCCTTCTGTACTGTTTTCAGGCAGGTTCCTGAGCTCCATTGATTAGGAGCTTTCTTCATCACCTATGAACGTTTAGAAACCACTCAGCTATTGCACTAGACTTCCATCAGTCGCAGACTATTAATACCTGGCTGCCGAATCAAATGTTGGGTAAGATGCTACCAAACACATGCACTGGAACTGGGATCAGTTACATGCTCTTACCTAAAGAATTTCAACCACCAAATTTCTCACCCAGGAAAACCAAAGGACAGGATAACACAGGAGATATTTGAGCATGAATTTGCCTCATCTCATGACAGTGTTTTAGAGTAGGTTTTTAGATGGGAAAAATTATGAAACTAAGCAAGAAAAAAAAAATTAAAATAAAGGTTCACATGTAGAAAAACAATTTGTTTTCAAGTTGACTCCACAGCTTGTTGCCTGCATAGCTCTAGACGGGAAAACATTTGGAGGAAGTTCAGAAAGAGCTGCAAAGGTGTAGAAAAGACAGCGTAAGGCAGAGGTCTGCCTCCAATCACATGGCAGAACATGGGAAGTAATGAAACAAGTGGTAAATCTTCCATCAGGATTTAAGTGTTCGCTCTGTAAACAAAGGAATTCTGCTTCCAGGGCTGTCCACACGGTTCTCCTGAGAAGCACAAAATTCACCAGCAGTTTCACGAAAAACTGAAACCAGTAAACAAGATAACCTTTAAGAACTGCTCCCAGCACGTTTTGCAACAAGTGAAGTCACATAGTGGACATTTAAAAGGCACATCATCCTCAGATTTGCAGTTAGAGCACTGGAATCTTCCTAGAACAGAGAGAGGGGGCCGGGGAGAGAGGGGGAGAGAGAAAGAGAGGGAGGAAATGACTGAATTCCAGTAATCATCTGTGAAATTCTAATGCATACATGTTTCTAGTGCAGTCCAGAAAACAATGACCATGAGCTTTTAACTATCTTAACAGTGCAATACCTGGCCCTGTTACATTATTTCTTTCACATGACCTCACTCAGTCTCTCGATGTTTCAGATCCCCATTTAGAAACTGAGGTTACATCCTCGCTTTACAAGGAAGTTGTCAAGAAAAATCCGTAAGTTCTCAGGAAACTATTACATCATTGTGATAAAGACAATGAAGTACTTTGAGAGAACATATGCAAGTGGCAGAAAGTACAAATTCTACTTAGCAAACCACGCTAATCATTATTGCACCTGAGCAAATATCAGCATGAACCAGTCATCATTTAATAGATCATCAGCATAATTCTCTTTTCTTATCTTTTTCCCGAGTATTAGCGAATTGCATCCAAAATCTCACCTATACCTACCACACTCCGGCTCCATCTCTAGGGGAAAGATAGGCACAGCTCCAGAGCCTGTGGGTGCTCTCACGTTACTGGTTTCTTTTGGTACTTTGGTCATTGGCAATTCAAGTTTGCTTTTCTGGTTAAAGCAGAAGGAGGAAATCTTTCTCTGAATTTTCTCCGGCGCCTCACCCTTAGAAGTGGCTGCATCTGGTTATTTAAAAAAAAAAAAACAAACAACAAAACCCAGCATACAAAACGGTATAATGCAGAACACAATACACAGACTCTGCAAAACACAATTAGCAGTAAGTTCAGTAAGTTCTTATTGTATAAGAACAAAACAACTTGAATAACTATTTTTTTATGCCATACTGCTTGGTTACAGAAGTTTCTGATGCTAACACATATTATTACTGAAAGGGACTCTTTATATTGAAATAGTTCTGTGGCAAATTCTTCCTAGACACAGTGAATCTTGATGCACTCTTGTCCCCACCCCACTTAGGTGCAAAAATTTTCCCTTCACCCCAAACCCACTTAACAGTTTAAAGAAGATGGCACTTTAATTTTCTTCTTGTTTCCTTGCACTTCCCCATCTCACATTGCCTTCTATCTTACACTTTTTTAAACTCAATTTGGACATGGCCAATTGCTTTGATCTTCGTTTACACACATAGTGCAGGGAGGCCCCAGCCTACAGGTAAGGCTCTTGGACACTACCCATCACAATAATAAATAAGATTCTAAACTTCAGACAAATGTTCATTCCCAACCTTGTACATGGCTGTTTTCTCCCTTAGTGCACCAGCTCTCCAAACTCAGAGGGTTCCCTTCACCTTGCACCTGCTGTTGCAATTGCTTCTCTCCCTCGCCACACACCATTCCAGTCAAATCTTTACACATCTGTTTGAACTGCTCTTTGTGATGAGGGCGCACAAACATGTAAAACCCTGTCCAAAAGAAAATACAGTCAAATGCATAGGAAAATAAATGCCTGACCATGGAAGACTCCTTGCTTTGGAGGGGAGAAATTCTTTGGAAGCTGAACAATATCAGCCATATTCCTCAGAGTATCTTCAGGTTGATGGAACACTTGATGCTTTTGTTGATTTTATAATTATGGGGTTTTCCTTGCCAGAAGACAGATGAGTATTTAGTATTGAAAATAATCTCAACTAATCTCAAAATTCTTCTGTTCTCTACAGCCAAGCATAAATATCTGATCCAGCCCTTCACCTGACAACTGATGGAGGGAAATCAGGTATATACACAATATCTGAAAAGACTTTCTCAAAAAGGAAATCTCTTGTTACTGTTTGCTTGACAGGGATTCACAACACATACAGAAATTCTAAAAAAATCCCAATTACGACTTACTGCCAAACACAGACAATTCTACCACAAAGTCCTCTAAGGTCAAAACATTTGCTCAGTAAAAATACTGACTCTTTGTGAGAAAGAATGCTCAGGGGGAGATTATGAGTCACAGTGCCACATAATTCATTTCCCTCCCACTTTTCACCATGTCAAGATTAATCTGACTAGTTAATGAACCAGAAAAAAGTTATTTCTAAAAATTTGGAGACTATGACATCTATTCAAGGTCAATGGAATACTTATTGTTATTTCCTAAAGACAACAAATGAAACTACATCAGCATTTCCCAGCATACACTGTATGCATCATTTCTTGCAGAGCAGTTCACACCAGAGACATGAGAGAAGGTGGAACTGATGTGTTACATAGCACAGGACAAGATGTCTCCATCAAGGCATCAAGACCAGCATATAATCCCTTTTCTTTTTTTTTTCCTTTATTCTTTTTTTTCAACAATAAAGCCCAATTTCAGATTTTGAAAACTTGTACCTTCCTAAATCCTTTCATCATTAAATCAATGAAAGGAAAAAAACCCCAAACAAATCACTTCTGAGAAAATAAATATCAGCTTGAAATTTCTAGATTATTATGAATGATAAAGACACTAAATTATGACACAGTTCCATAACTATTCCCAGGTAAAGCTTTGTAGAAGAATAGTGAATCAAAAGTGTGATTGCTTATCCCAAAACCTGGAAGTGATCTAAGAGCTTAGCACCAGTAGAGTAATCAATGGTCATAAAACCAAAATTGAGTCAGTGCAATAGTCAGCACTGTCTTTTCTAGAGAGCAATCACTTGCAGTAATTGAGGAGAAAAAAAGATAATGAAATCATTTGACTGAAGTTAGCTTGACTGAAGGTTAGGACTGGAATTACTCAGGTCTTATCAAATGTTTTTAATGGACAATTTCTAACTGAACAGAGATAACATTTTATAACCTTGACTTTTTTTACTCTCTGACTGACATTCATTTAACAGAACTTCCCTGCTGCTCCATTTATCTGGTTTGCTGAACCAAAAGATGGGAGCGGTGAAGTTTACCAATGCTAAAAGTTTTTCCTAAAAGTGGAGAATTTGCAAACTAATGACCAGGGAAAGTTTATTGCTCACATGAGATCACAGCACTTACATCTTCTTTTCAGCTAAATAATAGTGGTTTAAAAAAACATCCCTTACTTTGTAGAAGATGAAAGTCTTCGGGCCTCTCAGTGGTGAGGGCTGCTATCACTGATATCATAGCATCATAGTTATCTGTCTTCTTGTAAGCTAACAATGCTTCATAGAAACGGCTGTAAGTGCTTTTGTTCAAAGCCCTTTTCACATCATTGAGATAGGTACCCCTGAGGACCTGGTGGTGATCTCTCCTAGAGCTTGAAGCTTTTTCAGCCTCTTTCCTTGGAGCTCTGCCATTCTGGCCTGAGAAACAAAGAACACATGTGAGCAGGGCTTGGGGAGGAACAGAGACAAACAGGTCACTCCTTAGTATCAATTTCTCTTTTCATTCAGAAGAGGGTTCCTGGACTACTTCAAAGCGGTGGAGCCAACACTGCCTGCACACCCACACACCTCCCTCTGGCATGGCCTTGGGCAGAGCCAAGGCCTGCTCCTGGAAATGGCAACTGAGTAAATTAATTCTGGGGATCACTTTTAGCATCTTCTGGAGTTTTTTGATCTTTTTAAATGGAGAAACATGTCAAATGGTCACTAGGGAATGAGAAAAAGGCAACACAGAAGCCACTGTGCATGGAGGTCAGCAATAAATCAGGTTTTGTGCTATGCTGAAGGAGTAGAAGCATTTTAAGCAGAAGGTTTAACCAACTATGCTGGCCTGACACATGGGCAAGTAAACTGTTGAGAGCAATTTTAAAGAACAGATTTCTCACCCCTTATTAATAAAAGGAGAAAAGGAGTGGGGGTGTGGGGGGGGTATGTATGTGTGTTTCCCAACAGGAAAACATAGTATCAACAAAGAATAACTAACCTGAACTAACACACAAGATAGCACAAAAGCAATGTAGGAGTACAACAGAAGGTAGGAGCAGCTATGAACATCCTGCTAAATTCCAAGTGGACTTCTGTTCAAAATGTCAGTCTTTGATTTCTGATACGTTTTAGAGGAAAAAGTTCTGTTTTGCATATTACAGGCATGCAAATATGGATGAAGTATATGATAAGAATCTGATTTAAATTAACCAGCCACATCTTACAGTATTTAGACCTTTATTCTTCACTAAACTACTTTTAAAGGAGTTAAAGAAGATAATGAAGTTTTAAAAGATGGGCTTAGTTCAATTTCCTGAAAGGGGAAAAACATGGGTGTGAATTTTATAATCAGTATCTTTTATTGCATATCATACAGCTTTCTGCACTTTCACAGGAGCATACTCTACTTAAGGAGTGAGCAACAGAAATAATACATGCATTTATTGCTATTATTTTCTTAATTACTTTTAGTGGAAACAAGTTTCTGTGAAAATCAATTTCATGGACCTCAGGACAAAATAATTACCAAAGATTCTGTTTTGTTCAAATGTTCTTAAAATACAAAACAAAACAGGAAAACAAATCAAAAGAAACAGCATGGCTTCATACAAGAAAAGCTTTTAAAGCCTTCCAGGAAACATTGGCTATTTATTTATTTATTTATTAAAAGAAAGGATTAGCCTTTGACTATTCTTTACCCTCTAAAAAAAAGACTTCTAAGCTGTCCAACTATCCTACTCATTTCCTTGTGAGAAATACAAAAAATTCTCAGCTGTTTTCAGGAAGATCTGTAATCAAATCATAACTGAGCCTTTGACTTCAAAAATAAATACTGGACAGCATGAGATTAGAGGGATGCATACAGAGATTACGTGCAATTGTGAGAATACATTTGCTAGTCTCTGTTTCTGCAGAAAAAACAGACTGTCCACATGAGGAGTATGCACATTACTAATAACAGGAACTGTTTTCTTCTTCATACCTGGATTCATACTGACCTAATTTAAAATTACATTCCTTAAATGGCTCTCTTTCATGAACCCTGGACAAACAGGAAGCCCAGCAGTCTTGTGCTCAACTCACCCTTTCCCTCACTGACGTATGTCTCCAGTGCAAACTTCTGACTTTAGTTGGTTTCTTTCATATCCACCTTGATTTAATTTATTGGCTTTTGTGGTTTGTTTTGTACAATCCTTGCTGAAAATTCTGAATTACCATCACTCCTACCTACAGACAGTGAGCCACTGTGCTAGCTGAACACAAAAAACATTGGTTCCCACCAGGAGAATCTACAGTCAGTGACGAAATGAAACATAACATGTATTACCTTGGGACTGTGTTTTTATTTAATATGAATTGTACCTGCACTACTCAGTCCTGTTGTCAAGTGGAATCCTCCCCGGTTCAAGTGGAGCCCAGGGTTTAGCTGAGTGCACAAGTCCTTTGAGAATGCTGTTTTCTGCTGAGTCCGTTTTTCTTCTGTTAAATCAAACCAGTCCATTAACAGTGAACTTAGGGAAGAATGAAAATAGAATGGCACACTTTAAAGTACACCATTCTATACTGAAAAAAACTGAAGATGTAGATGTATTTCTCTGATAAGAGGGGATGAGCTAACACCCTGCTTTTTGTAGGACCTCATTGTTCCAGAGTTTCAAAGATTTCACAAGCTCTGCAAGAACATGATTACCCTCTATAAACTGTTCTAGTGGCACTATGTGGGTAGCCAAGAAGTCAGAGGAATACAAACAAAGTTTTTAAATCCACAGACTAGATTCAAGATTTAAATAGATCTGTAAAATCCCCTTTTGAAATAAAATGGCATCATTACTAACTACACCGTAACTAATGCTCAGGCATTTGTGTGTGCTTATGGGAAGGCAAGCAAGAGGATCATGCAGAGCAGAGACTTAGCTCAATATTGATTAAACTATATTACTTTCCACCCTTACATTTCTACATATGAGATGCGTCTTGCTCTACGATTGGACAATGTTCATCAAACGATACAGCTGCCTGCACAGTGCTGAAACAAGCTCCTCACCTATTTTCTTGGCCAGTATCTCTCTCTCTTCTCGCAGGAGGCTGTGCTCAGGTTTGTAGCCACAGCCCACTCCAGTCAGATTGCAACACGCTTCATCAAACTGTTTTTTATGTTGAGGTCGAACAAACTGGTAAAATTCTTTCATTTGGGGGGGGGGGACGGGAAGAAAAAAGAAAAATCAGTCCACAACAGGTAATAAATGCCACAGAAACCTACAATGGCAGGACTTCTAGGTTAGGTAATATGAAGATAAAAAGTGCTGCTAAGTAACTTAAAATCTAAATGTCGTTATCTAATATTAAATATTAGATACAATAAGCACAGTTATAAGTTACATAAAGGTCAGCTATCATGAAAACTTCCAGCAATATTATTACCAGTAGATAATAACTGTAATTTTTCCCACTGTAAATATGAAGTAGCTTACCTCTTAGTGAAACAGGTACTTGCAGCAAAAGGTCATGAGCTACCTCATAAACCGTGGGGTCAAAGTATCTGCCAGGCTGATACTTTGAATAACTGATATACTGTTAATTTTACACTTCGTCTTTCTTACTTACCATAAAATGCTTGCCAACCAAAAGCCTAAACATCAAATGAACCTTAGGTTTCAGGTGCCTGTCATTTTTGAAAACTAGACTTAGGCCTTAATTAGGCCATCAAATATTTTCTTATTTGTATAGTAAGATCAGCAAATTAGGAACAGACTGTGGCTACTATTAGTAATAAGCTTCCCATTCCTTAACCTTAAAATTAACCTTAAACAATTTACAAGATGGGTAACTACGCTTTTTTTATTTTAGTAGATGAAAGAAGTCACAAAAAAATCTGCCCATTTGCTCACAAGTTGAGAGGGAAAGGAAAATTCACAGAGAAAACACTGTTAAACTAGAAGAAATGTTGGTGGGAGTCCGGTTCCTGTAGTTGTTTAAAGTCAAGAAAATACCAGCTAAACTAGTAAACTATCCACGCTTGCCCAGATCACTTGTTTTATACTCACCATTATTTAAATAGAAAGTTTCTCTAGATATTCTGTCTACTTATTTACTGCTTTAACACTGAACCCTTATGAATGCATATATCCAACTCGCACAACCACACTCTTGATCTTACCTCCTAAATCACCGGGAATAAGCTATACTACTTTTAGGCAAAATTTAAATAAACACAAGCTTCCATAGAATGTGATTTTTTTCAGGCCTGTCAAGATGCAAACTAACTAATGTGATAATTAGATTGAGAACATTTTCGGTGTGATCTGGGGATATAAAGTGATGAATGTTAATTATTATCATCCTGATTGATCTGTAACTCAAATACAAAACACTTACCTCTGAAATACCCAAGTCTACTTAAAAAGACAAAGGTCACATCATATAAATATACTAGGAAAGTTGTCATACCTCGTAACAAGATATGCTTTTTTTCATCCTCTACAAAGAGGGAGCTCATTTGACATAACATAGCATGGAAGTCATCTGTCTTCTTGTAGTGCTGAAGAGCCTTAGAGAAGATATCATAGTTCTGTTGGCTTAGGGTCTCCTTCACTGTTGCAATGTACAGCGTAGCTCGGGCCTTCTTTGGCTCCGTCAGGTCTGCTTTCTTATCAGCTTGCTGCGAAGACAGGAAGGCTTTTCAGTAAATAGTATGACTTGATGAGTTACTCTCACATGAATTCAGATGGAAGCAATATATTTACAATTCCGCCAGCACACAGAACAACGAATGCTTTCACTAACAGGTTACTGTCTCTTGCAATTTTTGTAGCCACCCCCATATCCATGTGTTATTTCCCAAAAAAGCAAAACAGATTCAGTGCCATGGAATAAACACAAATCTAACTGGCCTACCTCCTGAAAACGTCCGATTAACTGAAAAACATAAATCTCTGAAGCAGGAGATACAAAGAACAGAAGGCATTCAAGCATTTTAGTTCCTCTAAGACATTTCTTGAAGACACTACACACACGAGCAAGCTAGATTACTCTCTCACATTAGGAAACATTCTTCTTCTACAATCAAAAGCAGCAGGGACTTGAAAAAGATTCAGAACAACCCCTCCTTTATGAAAGTGACTGTGCATTACAATGTGCTCACACACTTTGAACATATAAGCTGTTGGGCCCTTGTCACATGTCTTCATGACAAAAAAACAGTGTCACTGGGGCAATCCCGAGACACATGTATATTGTTAATTTCCCCAGATGATTATTATATCTATTTCTAAAACATTAATCCCTCTAACATCTGTGAGCATTCATTCCCTCACAGAAGAGCGATGCTATTCACCTTCTCTGCTGACAAAACTGACTGCTTCAGAGGAATGTTCCTAGAGAAGGCAGCCAAGCCTTGTTGCACAATTCTATTCTTAGGAGAAGGCTTAAATAAGAGAAATGAGATTTACTCCAAACCTTGAGGGCTAGGCTGACTCATCATGACATCAGATAGCAAGAAACTGCAAACACAACCTTCTGCAATGAACCTGCTGCCTTCCTCACACCTTGAATATTATCAGCTTCAGAATCTGTGACTACTTTTATCAGTTTCATTTGCTAGGTGACTGGGAGCCAGACAGACAGACAGCACCCCGTTAGGACAGTAACTACTGGCACACACAATCACCCAGGGGATTCTCATTGCTTAAGAGTCACGATAAATTAACTAGCTGCATAATGAGTTAACTCAGTTTGGAGACAGGGCAAAACAGTAATGCACAACTGCAGGCATAACACACAACAGTGACCCACCACAGGTGGGGTTAGGATGCAATCGCTTACCCAAAACTGGTCAGTTATACCATTTGAGGCTCCACCAGCAGTTGGACTAGATGACTGTTGTAGGCCCCTTCCAACTGAACTATTCTATTCTACTCTAATCAAAAAGAACTAAACCATCCACCACACCTGGTCAATGGGAGAAGATGTTCACAAGGTAGTCAATGCCAGAAAACAATTCTTTTCACCTACTAGCCCTACCTGGACCTGTGCTTGATTGGGTTTGTGATGTTTAGATTTGAGAAAGAGCATGACAGAAATAGATTTCAGATGTGCATTGATGAATATTTACAGTTTGGAGAAAAAACATAATTGTTCTGGCATCAGTCATCTGTCTGCCTGGACATTTCCAATTCAAATTAAAGCAGTCTGCAGATCAAAGGGATAGCACAGACTCATGAAAACACATACTGTATTGCTGACTAGCTTTATTTTCTTCCTTCCTCCTTTCTGCTCATCTGTTAACCTCTTCTCATACTGAAGGGAAAGCGTTGACAGACGCTGTGCCTGTGAAGATGAAAAGAAAAGAAGAAAGGTCCAAAAAAAATGCTTTTCAAAGTTATTGTCCGTTTAATTTAGCTATTTCCAGTAGTAAAGCTTGTTAACCCAGTTTGTGACACCACTCAAGAAAGTGAAACAAATCAACCTAAATTATTGCATGATGAGTAGTAATGCCGAATATCGAAAGCGCACATGAGCTGACTTGCTGCTGAGTCGTTAAGACCATCGACTTATCTGACTTAAGGAACTATGCCAAAAGCAGTGCAAGCTGTGTTAACAAGATACTGTAGATGAGTTACCAAGTCCCTGGAGATGTGCCAGGCTTTCCAAAGAATAAGTTCTATGGTGTTTATGCCATGAAGGCCCATGGGTGATGGAGCTGATTTCTCAATCAGCTGAAACACAAGTTAAATATTTTCTATCCCTGCTCGTTTCTCCAAGTTTGTACATCCCCTCTATTTTGTACACATCTCCATCCATCTCCCTTAGGCCTCCTTAGATATTCCCCAGATACTCCTTACACCTCCACACTTTCCCTTAGGCATTCTTCCCCTAAGCAGACTGCTTAGGTATGTTGCAATAGGCATTCATAGTCATCAGCCAAACTGAGTCTGCAAGCCAGCAGTAAAATACTCCTGCTGATGGTAGCCAGGTAAGGGAGCTACCCCACCAACAACTACAAACAGGGATTTTGGGAAAGCAGGAAGAACACAGCCTAATCACCGATGTATTAAAAACACCAACCCAAGAGGAAAGAAAATGAACAGCACGGATGAAGCTTTGTTGATCTTAATCCAATAGTGGGTTTTTGATTCAGGTAAGATGTTCTGCAAGTCTGCAATATTCATTCTCTGAGCAAATAAAAGATTTTCATCTGAAAGTGCAAGTTCTAATTCATAAACACCCCCACACACCTTTTTTTAAACTCAATACCTGGTCAAATACCAAGTGCTGACACAGATTCCACCCAAGAGGAACTGTGTATCTACAAACCTCTCCTCTGAGAGCTTTCTGCTCTCCAGAGAGCATGGTTAACTTCCAGGAATCTATGTGGTCAGCAGCTATGGAGCACAACACAAGTCTGTACCTGTTGGTCATCTACTTGAATGTGGCAAGGAAACCCTCTGATTAAGCTTAATTATGAGAACTTGCAATTACCAGTGCTGATTACAGTGAGTTTTTCTTGAAAGAGGGTTGAACTGGTACTCTTAAATCAATGCCAAACTAATTTTGCTTTAGAGCCTACAATTTTTACTTATAAGCAAGTATTTTGCTACACCATTGCCATTACCTTTTCTTCTCCTGACAAGTCACTTTCCTCCTCTGCATCTTCGCTGCTCTTCTCATTGCGCTCCAACGCATCCAAGAGCCCAACACATTGCCTTCTAGGTGAGACGAGCTCTTGTTCATACTCCATGCATAGGCTGGATGCTCCATCTCCATTTACTGGCATCACAGCATAATACAGATGACAAATTAACATTCCACATTATCTCTTGCATTTTCTTTGACTTAGTAATACCTCAAAAATCTTAGGTAGCAATCCACAAAGATGTGTTGGTTTATTTAATCATCCACATCTTGCAAAACTGCATTATATGACTTCGTAAGAAAACTGCTTTGGTTAGTCACTCCCAAAATTACTCAAGCATTTGTTACCACAACCTGGTGGACTTCTCTCAAACTTTTCCTTAAGTGATGGTCATATTTAACCTCAAAATGGCTTAGGACCAATGGACAAAGACTCTTACTTCAACAGTTGTCTGTGTTTAACCTACTTTAGCTTTATGGATTTTCCAAAAACTGAGTTCCTGTTTTTAAGAGATTTTGGCAGAACAAGTTTTTTAAAGCCTACAATTCTCAATCACCCTCAGCTCCCAAGAATACATATTCTCACTAATCAGGATCCAAGTAGATTTGGTTTTAAATATAAGAATTTAGAGCTCTAGGCAGTGTTAAATTAGTATCAGTTTGCTACTTCTACAAGGCATTCTCTTCAAAATATATTTCCACTATTTTGTGAAATTACTTCAACAGTCAGTTACTAAGAAAAGTCACTATTTTGAGAAGAATGGAAGTATATTACACTATAAATTAAAAAGTCAGTACAAGAAGCTCTTTAGCCAAAACTATGATTACAGGTGCAGTTTGACGTTACAGCTAATGCAACACAACTGAAAATCTATATCAAAAGAGGCAATGCAGCTTCTTCCCTTTACCTCCAGCCATACATTCCAGCCCATCCTTTGAGATGGATCTATCAGTCACATGGATGAAAGGTAAATTGGTTCAGCAAGCTCATCTGCTTGCTCTGCAGTTGCACAATAGATGGATTCAAATCAAAGGAAGGAGCATAAGCACACGGTTGGAAGTTGAGGGAGAAAAAAGTGGTGGCCAAAGTAATCCCTTTCAATGACAACATGCAATCACACTGGCTTAGATGTAATGTGAAATCACCCTCACGCTCAGTCGTAACTATTTTGGAACCACAGTTTTAAACACAAACTTCATTGTTCTGTTCCAAAACAGCAAGCAACCTAGAGTGGAACATTCTGAAAGAATATCTTGAGTTTATTCTTTGGTATTAGCTAACCACAAATTTTAAAATTCTGTTTTGTTCCAAGGTCAATGCCCTCTTTCTGTTTTCTTAGTCAGATTACTGTGTGAGAGTCATTTATACAACAGGATGGAAGAAGGACATACGAAAGTCAGTTCTAGTCAGAAACAGACTTCCAGTTCTTATTTTTTAAACTATCTATGATATTCCACCAAACTCCTCCTGTTCTGCAGGACACCTTCTCAGGGCCCATCTGCCTCTTTGCTCTGTAGTTGCAACTGGTTCCCCCATTTTCTACTGCTGAGCTATGTCCCTTCTGATCAGACTTTTACATCGGTCTTTGAGCTCTCCTTGCTTTCTCTCCCATTCCAGTTTCTAGTCTCTTGCTCCTCCTCTTTTGGTTCAGCTTAAAACAAAAAAGTATATCTGTGAGGACCCAAACCTACCTTTTCTTTTCCTCTTCAAACTGGGAACATGGTCGTCCAAGTTTTTGGCTTTTTTCAGGGAGAGGATCTGCTCAGATGAAGCAGATGGTGCCATATCGCTTTCACTTAGGGAACCAGCAGAGCCAGAAGGGCATTGTGGCAGGGGTGGAGGCATCTGCAAGCAGTTTACAAAAAGTTACAGTAGGCAAAAGCTACTTTTCCACACCACTTTCTTTGCAACCAAAAAAATCCCAGCAACAACCCAAAGACATACCGTTTTTCCCAAATAACCCTTGACAGCAAGATTGCTAAGTGTTCTGGATTTATGTGCTTTTGAAAAAAGGGTGAAATAACTAGGAAGTGACACAGATAGATGAAGTGTAGTAAGCAGGCTCAGCACGAAGTGACCTGTGTAACAGAAAAAGGGTCATGACCCTGCTAAAGAACAATTGCTTCTTAACACTATCCCTGCAACATAGCTCTTTCTGGCAAAGCGCATTGGGTTGTGGTTCTTATTTACCATGAAACTCCTATTTGTGATCAGAAAAGATCATCAAGTCATCCAGTATCATCCATCGGTAACTTACTATTTGAACAACTTGTACTTGGCTAAAGAATCTTCCAGGAAGTCATCCAAGTCTGCATGTGAAATTTTAAGTGTTTATTTTAATCTTAATCTCCATTTTGGGGACAAAGAGTTCCCCATTCTGGCTTCCAGCCCATTTCTTGCTATGACTTTCTCCAGTCACTTAGAAAGTCTTTTTACAATATTACTTTTTAAATCAAGGACCTTTTACTGTGAAAAAGAGCTTCTTAATGTTAAGAGAGAAGCCATATTAGTAAAGATGACCCACTGATGAACCATAATAATAACTGATGGGTTGTCTCACTCTTTATACCAGTCAGCTTAGATTTAAATTTAAGGGTTTGACTGATTCTTCCACACATATACCCTCTCCCTGAGGGTGAGGTAGAAAGCTTTTGATGCTAACATCAGTTCCAATATTTGCATACCATCCAATGAAAGCTATGCTTATTTAGGAGGGACAGGAAAAGGAAGTTATTTTTGTGATCTAACCTAATGAGTTGCACAGCATGACAACACATCCTGTCCCAGCTCACTCTTGGAAAAAGATACGACACATCTCCTTTCCCGTAAAGCTTCCAATGTTTAGAAGTGACAAGACAAGTGACTCCATCACATCTCTCACCCGGATTAGTATTCTCAGTTTCCAACACGATCAAGAAAATTTGTTGTGTTGGGGTTTTTTTGGTTTTGTTTTTGTTTTTTAAAAAAGACACTTACAATTTCTTGAGCGACACGGAAGAAGAGGGAGACACTTCTGACTGCATGCCCAAAGTTGTCATAAACATTCACATAAGGGCGAACCCATGAAGGCAGCTTGCCTCTTACATCACCAGTTGTGAACCTGTGAGGATTGGAAAAGGAGAGAATTATTTGCCAGCTTGCCCTACGTGAATTAAACAAATGCTAGATCAGGGTCCAAAAAGACAAGGGAGGATCAGCAAGACAACAAAAGATTGAAACAGTGCAGTAAATATAATGGGGTGATGTCTTCACTCAGGAGAAAAGGGCTTTGTTGATACCATGTACTATGCAATCAGCCAATTCTATCTTTTGTCCATAAAATCTTTCACTGTGCAACAGTAACAGTAGTACTGAACTGTGATGTGCTCACTGTCCCCAGTCGAGCCTCAGCATTGAAGGCTATCAATTAAACTCTTGTTGCCTATTATATACATACTATATTAATGAATATTAATGTAATATAATATTAATATATTATATTAATATAGATTATATTGTTTCAGCAATAAAATCTTTCCTCATTTTCGTCCTCCTTCTCTCAAAAAACTGCAGTGCTGGTGACTGCCTTCTCAAATGAGAGGTGGAGAAAATGCAAAACCTTAAGTTATTATCACATAATTTCCAGTAGCATTACAAACACGAATTCAACAAATTGGCTTATTTTGCATTAATACCGTTAATCTCTTTCTGCAGCTCCAAGACAGCATATTTTAGGAGCAGAAGATAACAATCTAGTTCCTTTCTGAAAGTAGTGCAATATTTATATAACCTGTTATATAAAAAAATTTCATTACTTATGAACTGTAGCCTTCTCCAAACAGTAACATTGGCACATTTATATAAAAAAAACAATACCGGTGTTGGGATATAAAGATGTTGATGTATGTTTATGTTCTAGAGCCAAAGTTTCACCTGTGATCACACAGGAAGATAGCACCGTAGTCTTGGCGATGTCTGATGACCCTGCCAATAGCCTGATTAACAGCCCGGGAAGCTTGCTGACTGTACCACTCACGCCCAGATAAATACTGCAATAGGTGGGAGAAAGAATTAACATTATTTACTAGGTAAAACATATTGTCTGTGCTGTACAGTCACTATTGCTCTCTAAAGAAATTAAAAAAAAAAACAAGTATCTAACAAGGTCTACTGACAAATCTCTAAAAGCCTTGAAAGCCAAATACAGGCTGACTTGAATATCACACCTGACTTATGGTGCACAGAAAACTCAAGTAGTAATTTGAGGGGCTATTTAGTATATGATGCACTACCAGCCTTGGTAGTACAATAGACTCACCGTATTAATTAAGACCTTACAGCTATCCTGCAGGACAATAAACTAAATTTATAATGCCATTCATTCTCATGCCTGAAGCAACAGAAAAAATCCCCGAAACACAAAGCAAAAGAAAACACAAAAAAAAACCAAAACCAAACAATGCCCACCCCTGCCAAACCACAAAAACAAAAATCCCCAAACCAGCCAGCACAGGCAATTCTTCCTGCCCACCCTCTTTCTGCATGAAACAATTCCTTCCGAAAGATACATGGATAACATGCATACAAAGATTTTGACTGAAACTTTAATTATACCATTTTTTGAGCCTATACTTAATTGAGACCATGTGTCACTAGAGACAGAATTTGGAACCCTTATTGTTATTAAAAAAATAGGTGACTATTTGTGAAAAACTCCCATGGTTGTTTCAGTTTTTGATATTCATGGTCCCATGAGGCTGGGAGGATAACAAAAGCCAAAATCCACAGAGACCAGAGGCAGAAACGATGACATGAACCTGCAAACGGCCAACAGTGAAAAGTTGCCCAGTATTACCTGTGCACCTGCACCACTTCTTCGCATTTCATCCAGGAACTGCATCTTTAAAACAACTCTGGGCTCCATACGAGGAGGAAACGGAAGCCCAGTAATGATGACTCCTCGTCCATTTATGTCTGCAAAGTCCAAGCCTTCACTGGCCTGAAGAGACAGCGTTTTCCATTATCAACAGGATTTGAAGTGACATTTCAGAGCAATTCAGCAGTTATTGGCCTTTTTTCTCCATTAAATTAAATCCCTAGCCAAGTGTAATTTATGAATATGTTATGAATAGTTTCAACTAGATTTTTTGCTTTTATTACTGGGACTTTAAACTTAACTTTTTCCTTTAGGAGGCCCTGACAAAGCATACCTCCGCCAACACCATTAATGCATATGTCTCATTCCTGGATAAGCAGAACAGCTGTATTCAGAAGATGTCTTAAATGTCAGTCAATACCTCTGTTTAAACCTTCCATACCCGGAATTGTTAACAAGACATGGTAAGAACATAGCAAACCTTCTCTGACATTAAAAATGAACAGCATCATTTCAAAGTATTCCAATAATGGAAAGCTACCAGAAATCTGCTCAGAATCCACCAGACTATAGTGTCATATCCACCAGCTGTGATGCTTACATCCGTTCAAGTATTTGTCTCTCATCCCCCCTGTACATGCTCAGGTCCCATGCTGTGCTGGCAAAATCACTTTGTGAAATGAACAAAATCAGAGTTGAACAGACTGAAAAATAACCCAGGGGGGAAAAAAAAAGTTGATTTGTTTTTCAGCTGAATCCATTCTCCCATCTCATTTACCATGCCACACAAGCAGCTGTGATGGAATATAACATCAGGGGTGGACAGGCGGGTGGAACGACCAACTCTACTCAGCTTAAGCCAGCACTGCCACTAAGACCAATCACAGCATGCACTATAATCTGTCTGGAGCCAGCAATTGCATACTTGTATTTATGGACATTTTATCTTGGGCCCAAAGGAAATCCCTCAGGCTAATAAAAGCACGAGAAGACTAACCTTAGAGAAAAAGAAAAAAGCGTAATAATAAAAAAAAAAAACCAAAACCAAACAAACCTGCCCTTCATGCCCTCAAAACAGGGAAGAAAATTCCTGTGAACTTTTAAAGACACCCCAGGCCTAGATACAGCTAGCGAAAGAACTAGAGCAACTGGGACAGAATCTCCTCTTTATAAAAAGGACTGGTTTTTTAGGTTTCTTTCAGCGAACAGAGAACACAAAAAGCTTGCTAGAACCTACTGCCAATGTAAAAGCTGAGCAACAACCTGGGAGGGAATCTTGAAGTGACGGCTGAGAAGGGAGCTGGTTTTAGGCCTTTTGACAACACGCCTCTTTTGGTTTATCTTCTCAAATATTTCCAATTTAGCAGTCATACTATTAACCCTGTGACCACAATAAACTAAACAGTCTATCCTTCAATTGCGTGTTACCGCAAAGCATGATCTCTCCACAGACTCTCTCCCTCTCAGGGTAATACACTATTGTTGGAAGGACAGACATATTCAACTGAGAGTCCCACCCAAAAAGAGCTACGTCTTTTCTTCATTGATCTAACAATTGCTTTGGAGATTGGGACTGAAGGTTCAAAAGGAGTTGAATCGTCTCTTGGTAGGCAGTAAGCAGCAGCAAAAAGGCCCTAAGAGTAATTTATGATTTTGCAAATATTTCCACTGATATCATAAATCAATTTATCAGCACTGGAAAATGTAAATGAAAGGCCATCAAGTGTGTCCAGAGGACTTGAAGTTAATGTAAGTTTTTTAAAGCTAAGCCATATTTTGGGTTTTCAGCAGTGTTGTTCTAACATGTTTGATTGCAAATGTTTCTTTTATTTCTCCTCCAAAACTGTTGTTTTCATCTAATGGGTTGAGTTTTTGGTGAGCAGCCAACAGGAAATGTAAGTGTGATGCTCATCCCCTTTAAAGAACTCAAAGGTGTATTCCTTTAATAAAAACAGGAATGAGACATATGTAAACTTGACATAATTTTGAAAAGGCTTCAGGGCATCCTACTTCTCTTGGTTTTTTCCCACATATAATTACAGTCAAATAACAAAAGTGCACTGAAATCCAAAATGGTTTTCTCCATCAACTATATAATCTGATCTCAGATGAAACAATTCTCAGTTACATTACCTTCCCTCGACATACTGCCAAAAAAGCAGCTCCGTTGGACTTAGGACAGACAACTTTATCATAGTAGGCATCCATCACCTAAAAGATAAACTAGTTTAAGCAAGAGCAGGAATGGTATTATCCTTTGTATATGCATATTATCCTTTGCATATGTATAGAAAGCTGTACTAGTTAAATTTGATTTGTACACTAAGATCTAAAATGTGATTAATTTGGCTTAGTATAATTTTCTTTACTTCTACTAATTGCAAGTGTGAGAAACCATTTGCTTAGGAAAATCCTTACATTACTGTGAAATCTAGAATACCTCTGGGTAAGCATAAAAGATTAATATCAGATACTTCTGATGAGAAGGTAAAACACGGACTGTCTTGTATTTCTGCAGATCCTTGAGCAAAATAGGCAAGCCAGGAAAGCAATTTAAGGATATTATTTACTCTAAGAAGAAAACAGAGCAGCTACAAACAAACAAGATGACACTGCACAATTCCTTAACACCCAAAGCATGACAAGCTGGGAGGAAATGTCCCACAGAACATCAAAAGATGCTGTCTACTGAAGTGACAGCTTTCTACCGTCTCAATTACTCAGTACATATGTATGTTAGCTGCTGTTACATCACTGGAATTCAAATGAAGACTGTACCCTGCACAGCCAGCCAAAAGAATAAAGAAAGGATGCACAGAAGAACTATACTTCAAAGAAGAGCTCAGAGAGTTTTAATTTTATCCTAAGATAAAATTTGGGTGTTTCACACCCAAACACATTTTAGAGAAGGTATTTAAACACAAAACCAGCTTCTGAAGATGTTATAGGTATGTAATGCAAATAACCAACCTCTGCAAAGCTTCCTTTGTTCCTGGGTTCCACAAACATTGGCTTCACTTCTTCTATTCTTTTAGCAAAATCATGCTCCTGTTAAACAGAAAATGAACATATCAGAAACGGCCATGTGAAAGTAAGCACATACCAGAAGTGCTCACAAGAAAGGAAATGCTCAGGAGCGGTCACCACAGACTTCCCCAACACAGTCTGTTCCTCTCTTGCCAAACACAGCAAGAGATGGAAGCAGAAACATGCAATCCTAACACCACTAACGGTGATTCCTTGCAGTTGGTGCAACACAGACATTACGCAGATGGGAGATCCATTTCTTTTCCTTCCAACTTGCAAGTTCCAACTATCCACCTCCCAGAGACCCACTCTGCAGCATGACACACCTCTGTCCCAGCGTTCACTTTTAAGGAGGAGGAGCATTTAAAACAGAACTGTTCTACCAAGTCTCACCAGGGACATTCAAGTCATGAGCATAGCAGTTACAAAAGTTACAGTTGCACCAGTTACAAATTAAAAATAAAAGAGAAATGCTCATATTGGGATTTTTTCCCCTAACAGTTGAAACACTTAGACCAACTATAATTTGGAGGTCTAATAAAGAGAAGTCTGGTGAAATTAAATGAACTTTGAGATCAGATCAGATAAGATAATGTATTAAGATTCTTTTGGGTTTAGTTTCTACAACACTGCATTTCAGTGTATTGTGATCAAAATAAAAGAAGCCTGACCTGGGTTTTTACTTTCCAGACTTTACAATTTACTTATTAACAAAGAATTTTTAATGAGCATGGTTAGACAGCATAACTACAAACTGTCTGACATGTAACCAAACCACCTAATAAAGGCAGAGCAATTAACATACTCTCCAATATTCCAGGCTCTTATCCATGACAGGATACGATGGGAAGAACACCAACAGTCCATGTGGTACAACTCGCACGAGGTTACCTGCAACAAGATAGGCAAGTGTATAGCTGAGGGCATTTCCATCCTGGGATGGAGTACGCAGACTGCAGAGGAAAAATAAACTAACAGCATGGGTTCCTTCCAAAATCTTTTCTGCTTTCTTGACATGAATGTTCATGTATTAGAAGTTGTTTCTTTTTTTTTTTAAACATCATTTCAATAATCTTGTCATCAAGGTATAAACTTTAATACAGATGCCTAACCAGCTTTCTAAAGTGTACTGTTAACAGGATAAGAGATACTATGAGCTACACCAAACACTACAGACAAAAGAGGTCCCACATCATCTGCCATATTTTCCCTTTGTGACAGTAGCATCTATTTTTAGATAATTTTCTCCCCTCTTTCTCCACTGCAGTCTAAACATTCAAAGCAGTGGATGAGGTACCACAAGATTGCTTCTGAGAGTTTTCTAGTCAAATAGTATACACGTTACCGAAAAAAACATTAATCTGGTATTTTGTAAGAGCATTTTCTTAATTTTACCTTTTAGGCCAAGCTGAATACCTCAGAGCACTCTCCTCCATTTCCTTCAAACATTTCTAGATTTAACAGATTCCTTTCAATCATACCTCAGCCAAGCTACACAAATGCTCTTCTTTTATTCTGTCCTCATGTGTTAAAATTTTGTAGTTTTATTATATTTGTAAAACATTACCAAAACAATAAATGCTGACTTTAAGCAATGAAATTGCATTGATTTCTTGTGATCCTTAATTGCTCTGCAAATGATGCTTGGCTGCGTCATCTCTGTGCGTGGATTTTCTAGTTTGCGCCACTTTCTGACGGTGTTGAGGAACCACATTTTTGACCCAAACACAAACACCTGACAATAAAAATGAACAGAAAACTTGGAAATATTAAACGAAGGACTCAAACTCATTTTTGTATGCAATTACAGTAGCCAGCTAGCTGCCTGAGCAAACAGAAGCATACAAAACCAGACAGCATTTAGATATAGAATCATAGAATCATAGAATCATTAAGGCTGGAAAAGACCTCTAAGATCATCAAGTCCAACCTTTAACCCAACACCACCATGCCCACTAAACCATGTCCCTAAGCGCCTCATCTACACGTCTTTTAAACACTTCCAGGGATGGTGACTCCACCACTTCCCTGGGCAGCCTGGTCCAAGGCCTGACCACTCTTTCAGTAACGAAATTTTTCCTAATGTCCAGTCTAAACCTCCCTTGGCGCAACTTGAGGCCGTTTCCTCTCGTCCTATCGCTTGTTACTTGGCAGAAGAGACCAACCCCCACCTCGCTACAACCTCCTTTCAGGTAGCTGTAGAGCGCGATGAGGTCTCCCCTCAGCCTCCTCTTCTCCAGGCTGAACACCCCCAGTTCCCTCAGCCGCTCCTCATCAGACTTGTGCTCCAGGCCCTTCACCAGCTTCACTGCCCTTCTCTGGACACGCTCCAGCACCTCAATGTCCTTCTTGTAGTGAGGGGCCCAAAACTGAACACAGGATTCGAGGTGCGGCCTCACCAGTGCTGGGCACAGGGGCAATGCAATGTAATCCTTTACCTTTCTCTAACTTATTACGTCTTCTTTAACGTTTCTCCTTCTAGCAGATTTCTAAAAATCCTGTGCAACAACCCATTTCTGAAATCCACACTCTTCACTTACCAATTGTCTTCCCCAGAGAAGATAGATAATCCTCTGAAAACCTACAGAGAAGAAAAATCAAGTAACATCATTGTATTTCCTTTTCTATGTTTTTCATACATACTGACTTCCTCTGATATTCATTTAATATAGCATATCCATACTCCCAATTGCTCTCTTTCCTGTGGCAAGCACCCATGCCAAGGACACAAAATTAGTAATACCTTGACTACACGTTACTATTACTATTCAATATTCTTAGCACTGAAGATGATATAAGCTCCAATATTATCAAAATGTAACAAGTGGAAATGGGCAGCCATATGAGTTTTAGGATTAATGCTAACAATTCAAGGGTGAAATTTCTGCCAGGAAAGTCTGCAGTTGCTGCCAAGCCTGACTAACGTTACAACTATTTAAAATAATTATTGATGAATGAGGTGTGGTGACGCTGCAGGGGCAAAAAGGGTGAATTTGGTTACTATGGTTATTATTTACTCGCGGCATAAGCCAAGTAAATCACTTTTGCTCTACGTTTGAAAAAGCACTGCTCCACAATGAGCAGTGTTTATCTGTTTCTTCCAGCCCTGACTGAAGAGTCATTTGTTCTCTCATGCCTTTATGTTTCTTTCTTTTTAGTGCCCTGTAGTTTTGCATACTGTTTTCCCAGGAAACTTACATATGCAGGGAAAAAAAACGAACACATTTATTTTTATAAGACCTCCAAGTAGGGTATCACCACACAGACGACGTCAAAACACAGCAAACTGTGAATTCCCTTCCTTCAAAAAAAAGGTGTTCTAGGCCTTAGGGGGTGTGGGTTCCCCAATCCTCCCCCCTCGAAAGACAGTATCTCCAACAAAATACACTGAAATGGCACACTAAGCTTCTGAAAATGAGAAATACAGCGTGAGGGTTTTCCAGACTACTTCTTCTCTGTAAAAATCAATTACAATTGCTGAGTCCCTTTCCAGTTCTGTGGAACATCTGGCATTTTTCCCTTTTTTTCAGTAAAAGCTCTTTGAGATCTATTTTTTTTATTTTTCTGTATTGCTGAAAAAGAGTAAGTCAGGCCTGCAGCAGGCTAAATTACAGAATTCTGAGTCAGAGGTTTGTCTATAATGTTGAAATTGAAATAGATGTAAGAATGTGCCAACACATAAAAATGTGTGTACTACAGGAAGAAAGCTAAATGGAAGAACGTGTGTATCATACACAAGGAACTGATCGTCATCTCAAAATACTACAGAAGGATTAATCCCTAAACACAGCACTAGCTCCACTGTGATGCTACTCTTTAGCAACTTCAGAGAACTGGCAAGCACAGAACCTTCTTCCATGTGCACCAAAGCATGAAACTGCCTTTTAAAATTATATGCAGATATGCTAATGAGACTATCATATTGCACAATGGAAGTCAATATACAATGAAATCAAGTTTTGGCCTTCCTTGCTGGCAGTATAATCTGCTGGCAGCAGAAGCTGCAGCAGAAGCACTGTCTACTCTGAAGAACAGAAAGACACAGGCAAAATGATGAAAGACCAGAGAAAAGCAAGAACAATGATGATGAAAAGCTTGACAAATATTTGGATATATTTTCCTTAAGAAGGCAATGCAGAAGTAAAAGACAGGCTGGTCATGGTGACAAGCTTTAAACATAAAAATAGTTGTTGCAAAGGCCAGTTTCAAATGAATTAAGCCTTCAGCAAAGAAATTTAGGATGGGGCTCCATGGCAGTGAGGGTAGACTGCTCTGTAAGGGACAGGGAAGTGGTACCTGAGCATGATATGAAGGCATGCATGGCAGGGGTCTTGCCAGCCAGGGCCCAGACCCACACTAACAGAGCAAGGCAAGCAGGAAAGGCTTGGATGCAGTAGCCAAGCTCAATCACAAGTCCAGATCACCAGGCAAAGTCACAGTGATGGGGAAGGCCCAAGGTCAAGCCAGGAATGCAAGTCAGTAAACCAGGAGCAGGTCCAGTGACAGCAAGGAGTGTCACAGTCGAGGGCTGGCGAGGCAGGACCATAGTGACAGGCAGGTCTGAGGTCAAACTGGGAAGTCAATCAGTAGGTCAGGGTCAGATCAACAGGGTCTATGGCCAGGTGTGGTTATGATGGAGCTGGAGACAGATACTCCTACAGCTTGGGCAGTGACTGAAGGCCTATGCCAGACCTTAAGTGGAGCTGCTGGGTGATGGTTGTGGGTGGAGGTCCCAGCTGAGGCTAGTCACAGCCATTAAGGACTATTAGTGCACTCAGCACCCTGACATTTGATCCCTTCCAGCCCTCCAGTTCTAAATTTTCAACAGTGGTGGTTGAAGGGTGTTGTTATTCAGCACAGTGTTTATCCAAGAAAAAAAATTACAGAGACCACTTATTTCACTAGCACCCTCCTGTAAGAGAACCCCAAATGTCAGAAGCCAAGACTTCAAAGCAGAATTCCACATGGAAGTTCATTACCTTCTTTCATAGGTAGAAGTAAGCGCAGCTCCATCAGGTCCCTTAGGAATGATCCCAACCCAGAGCTGGTGTTTATCGATAACATGAGGATTCTCCAAGCAAACAGGAAAAGGGCTAAAGAAACACAAAAGTAAGATCCCGGTCATACTCATTATATGATTCCCTACTGGCTACCAGTCCAGAACACTCAAAAATCTTAAGATAAAACCTAAAATCACGAGAGCAGATTTGCATTTTCAGTAATGGTACTGTTCACACATCTAGGTACTTACATCTGCATTTCCATTGTAAATGATGAGAGGGGGGAGAGAGTCCCACTAGTAAGGATAATTGTCCTGACTCCCTGTCGAACAAGCTCATGCATGCTGTATCCAGGGCTGAAACACCAATAGCTTAGGGTCTTTCCTGTATCAAGTAAAGAGAAAACACCAAGAAGCAAGTCTGTAAGTGGAAAAATTAGAATATGACTAGCATATAGCACATTGCATCTGAACTTCTGAAAGTAAAACAGCCGGCATCTGAAGCTAAAATTCCAAATGTATGGTATGTTCTCCTTTGGTCCTTCCCAGATTTAATTACTATGCCCATTCAAAATACAGTTTAAAAGGTCATTGCTCCCTCACACCGTAAGTAGATTATACTTTTAAACAAAAGATTGTTCTAGACAAGACAGAGCATCAGATCTTTTTGTTGGCAAGTAACAGGCAGATTGAGCAGATAAAACTACTCAGTCCTCCATCCACTGATTCACTTCCTGCTGTCAAGGACAACTGGAAGGGGAAGCATGCTAGAACTGCAGAATACTGGGATGAAGGACAAATGACTGAAGTTACTAAAAAAAAGAGTATCTCCACCCCTGCCCTTGCTTGAAAAGAGAACAACCCCTTCTCCATCACGAATTTCCAATGGCTATAAACCTTTCACCTAAACTTTCCATTTTCCCGACAGTCAACTGCCAAACCTTTCAACTTCTGCTCAAATCTTTGTGAAATGTGGATATACAATGTGTGTGACACTGAAAATCTGGCACGCTATAAGTTATCAACAGAAAGGATATAAAGAAAAAAGGATAAATCACACTAGTCATTTCTTTCATTGCTCAGCTTATAGTTGTACCATTGCTGGTCTTGCTGAAAACTTAGCATCAGCTTTTCAGAGACAGTCAAAGGAACAAGGGAATGAAACAATCATCAACATCAAGAACAAGAGCAGCCAAATAAAACATTAGCTTTTGTTTCTGTTTCTGATTCTGTTTTGCATGATTAGTTTTAGTGTAAAAAAAAAAATCTAGCATCCACATACCATGTGCGTGTTTTTTAAGTGTACACGCTTCATTCAAAGACTGTATTTCCAAAAAGGAGCTGACAGTTTCAGGAAATCCCCACTAATATGTGCCCAGTGAGTCACTTACTGCTTAGAATTACAAGAGAACATTTCTTTTAAGCTAAAGTTTTATCCTTCCGTCTCATTTGGGCAAATCCATCCAGATGATGTCCAGATTCTAGAAGAATCACATTCCAAAATTTAGCAAATTCTGTATCTCTTTAATTCACACTAAGAATTGGTGCAAATTACAGTTAAGATCTGTATATGGACAGGCCAGTAAGTACCTGCAGACAGGAGCAAAGTCACTTATGTCAGGAGCCTAAGAAATTCCAGCATAAAAGCAAACTGTGCTGATATAGGATGGCCTAGAAGAGAAGAACACCAACCACTCACATCTGCCTTGCCAACGCTCAGTTTGAGATATACCTCTCTGTAACCCTGCAGGATGACTACCGGGCAACAGTTGCCCAGTTCTTGGAGAAGCTGGAATTGTAGTACATTTTTAGCTTGGTGTTCTGCAATTATGTCTTCAAGCTTAACAATATTAAATCCATTTTAAAGGTCCCATTCACCAGCAGGAACTGTTGGATGCTACACAAAGTAGATTTCTGCAGCAGCTTTTTCTATTCCTGGTACAAGGACAGCTAATCCATGGAGAAATGGTTTGCTAATAGTTTACGACATGGTGATTTAGAGCAAACCAAGAGTAAGAGCATTTTATCTTAACGTAAAACTGCAACAGTTCAATATTGCATTCGTAAGTGGCATCTGTGTACAGAACAGATAGCTATGGCAGTAATCTCAGCTATCCCAAGCTATGCCACTTCTCACCAATTAGAGTTTGTAGAGAATTACACTTGAGTGAATAATTTCCACAAAATCCTTTGAAAACAGCTACTCTTAAAAGGTTTGCATTATTTCTATACAATCTGCTATACAGCTACAGGAAACTGGAGACTTGACCAGTCTTGTCTGACCTCTGCTAGGTTTGCATATAGTGCAAGTCTCAACAAATTGCTAGTCTGTTGCATACATACTTGCAAATGCTGTTTTTATTTTAAAACCAAATATATCAGTATGTGACTACTAAATCACAGAAGAATTCTGTGACTGCTTTGTATTGTTTTTATGTATAAATCCTTCAAATTATGCAATAAACCTAAGAATGTTTCTGTTAGCCTTTTCCTGCACACATATTTAACAAAATCTATTTAGAATTATTCTTGCAACTTCAAGCTCCAATTGAGCAGTGTCTCAGGAAAACAGTATTTGCCTATTACCAAACAGCATGCTTCTGTCCAGAAACAGAAGAGAACTTATTTTGTGGAAACACTTAAGGGGACGTTATGCGCAAAATCACTAAATCCGTGGAAGCTCATTCTTTGAAAAACGTTACTTTTGTCCTTAAGAAAAGGACTTCGGTGAAACAAATACTTATATTCTCAAGAGCATTTAACCGAGTAATTAAGTAGATAGTTATGAGGCAAGGTATTTACAAAGATCCTTAAAGAGTATTCTATTAAGAAGGCTTAGGTAAAGGGATCTGCATCTGTCTTCTCTAATCAGAAAGTGTTTTGTTTTCCACCTAACTGTATTTATTAAAAAATAAATTAAAAAAATCATAAAGAACGAATGCTGAAGTCCTCAGTACTGCTTTATAGGAGCCTTAGGATAAGCCTTTGATTCAGAAGCCAAGTTTCTTTAATTCTAAATATGTTGTTTTGAAGCATGGTTATATTGAGGTAGTTCCAGATACCAAGCTCTGCAGAGCATAAGGAACAAAATAGGTGGGAGGAGAGAGACAAATCTCAATTGAACAAGAAGGACTGAAAACTATAGTTGAGGCTGAAACTATCAAGGAGTGACAACATGCCCTGAAGAACTTAGGAAGTTACTCAATAAAAGGTCATATCCCAGAGAAGGTAACAGTGCCCTGAGGCTGGTACCTGGCATGGTATTTTCTGGCTAAGAATTCACATTCTTAAGTGTTATTTCTCAGGCACATCACATGAACCCTCACTACAGAGCTTCAGAACAAGCCAACCAATTATAACTCCTCCACTATATATGAGTAATTTCAACAGAGATTAAGAACTTTGATGGAATTTACTTTTATCATACTTTTGGCACATATTTTCAGTATCATATCTATACATGAATCTCCTTCCTGTAAAAGGTAGTTACAGCCTTAGCAACACTACTTTTGTGTTTAACATACAACACAGTTACACAGAGAAATATAACTGATACAAGGATAACAGAACATTTCATAAACCTCAACATCAATCCTGAAGGAGGTTTTTCCATTCTTGGGCTGGTCTGAAGATTTTCTCTACACAATACAAGCAACCATTCCATAATGGAGATGATTTTCTTTCACTGGAATAATTGCACTAGAACTCCAGCGGTGCACAAAGCAGCAGTGGTACAGGAATGTTTTATATTGAGATTGCTTATGTCACCTCCCCTTTAGAAGTAACTATAAAAGTGAAAAGCACATCCTCGACTCATCGTAACCACATGGAACTGTACTTAGAAACATAAAACTGCAAAGGAATACCCTCAAACAATCCTAGAATTCTTCAAACTTAAAGTCCCAAAGCCTTAAAAACCTACCCTGTTCTAGAGAAAGAGAGCTCTGGGGCAACACTAATGCTCCAAGTCTCTTCATCTTACAGAAGATGACCAAAAAACCCTACAACCAAACCAGCCAATGGTTCTTTGCTAACTGAGTGGAAGGGGAAAAAAAGTCTTTCCCAATCCCACATCCAATGATGGTTTTAACTTGGACCATGGCAACAAGGCATACTAATCACGCACTTAAGATTTTCTATGAGGAACACTACTATGCCATTTGGGTTTAAAAAATTTTTTGCATATAGTGTGGGATTGGGAAAGGGCCCTCATTGAGTTTAGCCCTTTATTCCTCGGAGTAATTTTTAACATTTAAGATAAGATAGGTGGTGTTTCACTCAAAATCCTACAATGACATTCCAAAATTTGCCAGAGGACTCCCTGTTCGCAAATGTGAAGTAATGCAGATTGGGATGTCTTCCGTTGTTTTCTCTTATTTGAATCAGAAAGGAGCAGTGGAGTAGTTTTCAATCCAGCTTTTGCATGAGCCTCCCCAAGACCAAGTCCTGTACCTTGTTTTTTTGCAGACGATGAATTCCAGAGATCTGTCCTTTGCTTCTTCTTCTGATTACTGTTATCCAGATGAATATGTACCTAAAGGAAAATAACAGAAACACTTCTAGAGATGGCTACAGAAATGAACTTGCACTTCATCACTCAAAAAAGCTAGCCCATATTAAGGGTAGTTAACGTAATTAGTGTCACTTTTATAGTGTTAGTAAGGTCGTATTATTTCCTGTCTGTTTTTCGTATTTTGTTTCCAGTCTTTCATAACGTATCTAACAAGGAGCAAAGTAGTATATCACCATTTAACCAGCCATTTTGAGTCAGTTTCTGGAGCAGCTTTTCATGGACTGCCCTGAGCAGAGACAAAGAACCCAATCATTTGGGTATTGTTCACCAGAATAAAACATGCACACCAGAAAAAAAAAAAATTGTGTTAGAAAGACTTGCTTCGTTTGACAACAAAAATAGTATCATGCCTTAAACTTAATATGAAAGCTACCATTTATCTAAAAAACAGCCCTGTTCCTAAAATTCATTATAGATCACAGCCCATAAGTCCCAAACGCTAAATAAATTATAAGGACTTCGCGGGGGGGAGGTTCAGTGGCTCTACTGTAATTCCTTGGTAAGAGGCTAAACTAAAGTCAAGAGAACAGATTATTGGAAGAACACATCAACTCCTGCATAATGTGCAGTATCAAAGTTTTCAATAATTCACATTTGCTGCACTTTCCTAATTTCATTTTAGAGTTTCTTTAAAAATTACTGTGTAGCTCCCCTTTTTCCTTGGAACCTAAACTAACCACAGTTCCTTTGGTGTTGTTTTTGGGGGGTTTTTTTGTTTTGTTTTTGGTTTGGTTTTGGTTGTTTGTTTTTTCTGGAAGAACTTACATATCCCCCCTGTAATCATCATCATCGTTTGCTATGCTATCCACATCCTTCTGAGTTTTGGATACACTAAGTACAGACGTTAAATGCCAGCGAGGAAAAATGTAGAACACAAAGCATCCCATACCTTATAATATTTAGATATCGACTGATGTGGCATGAAACCTGTCGCACCTTCTGGAGGATCAATGTTGAATACTGTCTGGAAAATGGATGTAAATGAACAGAAAGATTTAACAACTGTTTCCAGCAAAATCCCTAATGTATCTTTGCACTGAGAAGTATCTCCACAGAAGTTACTGCTGTGATAACCTTAAATATATGTCATTGCTCCTGTTATTAAATAAAGGCAGAGAATCTTGAATAAATACATTTTTTACAGGCAATTCCTGCAATCTCATTGTTCCAAAAAATGCAAGCCAGTACCTAAATATATTCAAACTACATAAATGACAGTATTATTATTCACTCTGTTCATGACTTCTGGCTGTGGATAAACATAAACACACTACACGTTCATGAGATCACAGAGTCACAACTGAGTGTAAAAGAACTCCCTTAGTTTAAAATTTCAGCCGTGATACCCTACACTAATAATACTCTGCTTAGAAAAAAAGAGTTGTAATCATATCTAGTTGTCCATATATTAAAAGCTTCTATCAACTCTTCTGCACAAAGTTATGCTTCTTCCCCTTTCCTGTATGTGACATCTTATGACTAAGGGCAATGCTCTTTCAAACATGTGGCATTCCAGTGCAACTTCAATGAAAACAGCTGTGGTTCTCAAATATTTATAACCTCTGTTAATTTTTCTAAACAAAATTTCTTCAGACATTTAAAAAGAATTATCCAAGCTTATAAGAATATCAGCTAGTTGCAACAAGATGTTCTCCACCAGTTAAAAAAAAAAGTACAATTCCTGGAAATATTAACTTCTGAAAAATAGCCAAAGATAGGGTTACAAAAAGAGTTTTTAGTAAGTGTTCTTCTAAAAGGAAGAAAAAAATTTGTTAAAAACATGCTGGTTATAAATTATGTTTTGAAGACAAGGCTCTGCAACAAAAAAGCACTGTGTTTAACCAACAAAGACTCTGTGACCTAGCCCTACTTAAAAATATCTCAAGATAACAAACTATTACGTGGCAGATGATTTGCAATAACTGTCCACGTGCATGTTCTCAGCAACAGCAGCAGAAAAGGGATCTTAGCTTTCAGCAAAAGACTGCTCTTCCAATTCAAATCACCTTTCATTTATCCACAGGCTAAAAGAACACACACAGACAATTATCCCCAGTCCTGTAGCACACACTAATCTGTGGGCTCCAGTCACTGGGATCAGGAGACCTGGCTTCTACTTCTGAATCTTCTCATCTCTCACTGTGAAACCCTGGGAAACTAATTTAAATTAAGCATACCTCACCCTCCCCACAGAACAGTGACATTCACCTTCCAGAACAAATCATTTTGGTATCAGTGTACACAAATTGCTACTACTGTATCAGAACATACATACAGGTTTTGTTGAACCACTGCTATAAAAATGAAATAGTGTGTATGCCACTGCGAATACACCCTCACAAACATCCATGCATTCGATGAGTTCAGTATTGCAAACCTACTAGGACCACTCAAAACACAGCTAGATAACTTGTCTTTATCATGCAGGTCTGCAAAGTTTGAATACATTTCACTTTTAGTTTTCCACGGGGGGTTATTCTGTGGTGTCCTTTTGGACATGTATGCCGCTCTCCACCAGCATAACAGGTGCAACATGACTTCATACGCTACTTCATACACAAAGTAAGCACAGAAAGTCTTATTAAGTAAGAAAAACGAATCATCTATAGGAATTACTGTGTTAACTTGAGCTGGCTATTCTCCTACAAGCACCTAATAATGTTTTTTAGGAAAATTTTAAATTATAAAGATTATCCTTTTCTATTAAATTCCAATTCTAGAAGAAGAGGATTCACAATTAAGCTAAGATAGCAAGTAAATTCTTAGGTGAAAAGCAACAATACTGAGTAATTCAAACTTCCTCTTTGTAAGATTTTCTAGCAAAAAAAAAGGAAGACAACACAAATGTTGTCAGTAGATTTTGGTACGTATGACAAAATAGACCTGAGCCATTCAAAATAAATAAAAAAAATCCAAGACCCAGGATAGGACTTTTAGAGAACATGGCTAAACTCAAATCTAGATGATTTAATCCCTCCTAGTTTACTTAAAAGGGACACTAAAACCTATAAACAGTAACAATCTCAGGTAAAGGGAAATGTAAGTGGGAATGCTAAAAATCCTTCAGTAAAAAGGGAAAACTGAAGTACATAGTCAGTATCGCACCCAGACAGAAAAGAATTTCATTACAAATTTTCTAACAAGTGTTCTGGAAATAAGCAAGAATATCAAGGAAGGAAAAAAGAGTTCATTTGCTGCTGACAAATGCAGAGCTGGACACAGAATTCACTTTTCAGATTAAATAAATTGCTGTGTTCTTCCTCATTTTTGCTCTTGCATAGATTTTACTCTCCTCCTGCCTGTGTTTCCATTATTTTATCACTTTTTTGACACTCCCGTGCTTCCTAAAAATATAGATTACACTTGTAAGCAGCACATATTCCAGAAGAAAGATCTATGATGTCAAGGATTTCTGAAAAAGTCTGGCAGCTAATCTATGAGGCAGGCTACCAGTGAGTAGAACAAAACCAGAGAACTACAAGGAGACTAAACATTGCCAGCTATCACAGACTTTAACGTTATGGAATTTCTTGCATCAGTGGCGGAACTATAATTTTTAATTAAAAAAAAAAAAAAATTAAAAAATCATTAAACCAAGACAGAAAAGCAATGATTAACACACGTTAAAATGTTATCATTATTATCACCCACCTACTAAAGATGGGGAGGAAGAGACCTTTTTGATCAAAAAAACCCACAAATATTTGGGAAGTAAAGGTCTTATTTCACTGTCAGGAAAAGGTCTAATTCAACCTGACGCCCAGTAACTCAGGCCATGATGATGCTCTGAAATCACCAAGTTCTGGGAATACAGTGAACTTAATCCCAAGCGTCAGCAGATTTTCCAATATGTAACACTATGGCTAAGATGCTATTTTGTTTGAACTTTAAGCTGTCCAAACATTACCCTCTTTTTGAGTATCACTCAAGAATATTAGAACTTGGGTCAACTTCAGACGGAAGCTAGAAATCGAGCTTCAGGCCACTGGCCCACTGAACCTTGTAATTTTAGGGGGGCCAGGTTTTTCATAACCGATGTTTTGCAAGTGCACAACAGGGAGAAGACTGACAGCACCACATGGATACCCACAAGTATCACATTCAGTTCCTGTGGCACTAAAGATTTTTATTTTACAGATCCCTTAACTTAGTAATTAAATGAAAAAATACAGTTAAATTATCTTTTGTTTGCTTTTTTCCCTTAGCCTGTCCTGTTAGTTCATGAGAAGGTCTCATTATCCCAAACATTGCTGCTAGAGAGTAAATAGCTCAATAACCCAGCTCCACCTGGTGGAGGCTAAAACCAGACAAATTTAAATCAAGCCTCTCCAAAAAGGGACATCAAAACTGTAAAAGAACAACCTGGGTGAAAGCGAAAGTAGACCATCCCATTAGGCAGCAGCGTTCTCCTCAAAAACCCGTAGACTTCCATCGCTGCACAAGTGTACATAGAATCAGGAATAAAATGGATCCAATGTCATTCCGCATTTTTTTAAACCAACTCTTCTATCCTTCAGATGTATATAGAAGCAGCGTCAGTTATTTACCTGGATAATATCTGAGAGCTTATGCAATCCAGATGTATTGACAAATATCCCAGTACCTGGAGAGAATAACACATGATTACTTTTACAACACAAATACACATCCATTTCTATATATATCCATATCTTATCTGAACAGCACAACGCTCTCAATACAATGACTTGAAAATATTATCTGAAACAAATAAATTATTTCAAGTTTTTCATCATCATTCAAGATGCAAGGAGAAACATAAAACTGGCATTCCAAAGGAAGTTTCATGTCTCTGACGCATTGGGAAGCTGTCATCTGAGACAATTACATAAACTTCTTAAGGTTCCTCTACATTGAAAATTGGAAAGGAGATAATTAAAACAAAGATAAGCATGCTTGAACTGTTTGGTTACTTTTTCAAAAGCTTACACAACTAATATTGGTCTCATGAAAAAAAGAATAGAAAACTGACTATCCCGTTACGCAGAGGGACAAAACTAACCTTTGCTATAGCTATAAATAGCCCTTTACAATCACCTTCAAGCTTCTAGTATGCTTAAATCAGTGACTACAGAGGAGCAGTTAAAAGAACATATGAAATACACTGATGATGAGAATTTGACCACGGAAATGATAAATAGATGCACCTGTTAAGCCAGAGTGCAAACAGCCTAAAAGGAGAAAGATGCTGGGGAAAAAAAGGAAGGATACATGTGTTCTCAAAGGATGAGCTTGCAGAAGTGACAGTCTATATTCTAGTCGCCATGGAGTGGGCATGCTCTCTTCAATGCTTTTACTGAAGAGTCTGCTAGTAAGAACTAACTAAATCATTTTCTTAGCGCATGTAGAAGTTGGAGATTTTTCTTTGCAGAAGGGCAAATTAAGAACAAGATGCTGACAGACAGCAGAACAGAAGCTTGCCAAATCAAGAAAAACCCCACATTATGCAATTCCCAAGATCCTGTTTCATAACTCCATGACCAGGATTATCTATCTCCTCTGGGGAAGACAATTGGTAAGTGAAGAGTGTGGATTTCAGAAATGGGTTGTTGCACAGGATTTCTAGACATCTGCTAGAAGCAGAAACATTAAAGAAGACGTAATAAGTTAGAGAAAGGTAAAGGATTACATTGCATTGCCCCTGTACTCAGCACTGGTGAGACCGCACCTCGAATCCTGTGTTCAGTTTTGGGCCCCTCACTCCAAGAAGGACATTGAGGTGCTGGAGCGTGTCCAGAGAAGGGCAGTGAAGCTGGTGAAGGGTCTGGAGCACAAGTCTGATGAGGAGCGGCTGAGGGAACTGGGGGTGTTCAGCCTGGAGAAGAGGAGGCTGAGGGGAGACCTCATCGCGCTCTACAGCTACCTGAAAGGAGGTTGTAGCGAGGTGGGGGTTGGTCTCTTCTGCCAAGTAACAGCGATAGGACGAGAGGAAATGGCCTCAAGTTGCGCCAAGGGAGGTTTAGACTGGACATTAGGAAAAATTTCTTTACTGAAAGAGTGGTCAGGCCTTGGACCAGGCTGCCCAGGGAAGTGGTGGAGTCACCATCCCTGGAAGTATTTAAAAGACGTGTAGACGAGGCGCTTAGGGACATGGTTTAGTGGGCATGGTGGTGTTGGGTTAACGGTTGGACTTGATGATCTTAGAGGTCTTTTCCAGCCTTAATGATTCTACGATTCTATGATTCAAGACACTAAAAGCACCATCAGCAAAATGTCAACAAGCACCACCCCACAATTCTTCTGGTTTGGGAGAAAAATAGTGTTGTGTGCAAAAATCTTCTACATATGCACATGTATGTACACACATATGTTGGTACACGCTCAGGTTTTCACATAAAGCGGTTCTTAAAACTAGTTCTGTTGCATGAACAGACATAAAATGTGTTTCCCAGCAGAGGACCTCACAGCAAGTAGTAATAAAATACACAGGTCCTCAGGATCAGATTTTAGCTTTTAAAAGCTTTGTAATTTAAATCTAAACGAAAAAGCCTTTCTCTTCCTTTCCCCAAACAACGCAAACTTCCAATTACTTAGATTACAGAGAAAAGTCTGAGTGAAACAAACAAACAAACTTACAACCTGAAAGAAACTGTAAAATCTGCTCTAGTGACTCCAAGAGTGAGGATTTGGTCTGGAATGTTATTTGGGCCTCTGCAAACAGATCAAAGATGTAGCTGCAATTTACAAAGAAAAAGCACAAATGGGTAAACACTGTAAATAATCACATGGACACAATTACTGCTACACTTTTATAACAACAACAGTTTCACCATCTAGTAGCAAAACATGTTCTTGCCTCCATGAGAAAGAAAAATTTACAGGAATAAAAATAAGTATTTGGTTATAAAGACAGCAGACAACATTGACATGACAGAAAGCATATTGACCACATCCTTCCCATTTTCTGTCATTTCTCTACAACATACAATACGTATTAATTTAGAAATAGTTTTGCATGCAATTTCCATGATTTCTTTACAATGTACAATACGCATTAGTTTAGAACTAGACTTAGAGAGCTCTGAGGTATCTCAAACCAAATCTCTGCAGTACTAGTACCTCTGTTTAAATCATGACGCAAAATTGAAAAAAGCACAGTGAGGAGCTTCTTCCAGCTCAGAATACTCGATAGGCATACACAGAGCATAGGATTTTCCACTCTTGAAACACTTTGAAAGGGAGTTCCACCAGAAATAATGATTACTACAGAAAGGGGATTTAAGGAAACCCAAAACCTTGAATACATACTATTCCTAGAAACTAGAATAGTACTACCAATCCTAACAGCTGACCCAGTTTCACCCGGGTCTAGAATTTGCTGTACTTTTAACATGTAAACATATTAACGAGAAGAAATTTACCTTCCCTCTTTGGTGACTCCACTATCATTCAGTGGCAGCTCCACTGCATCAATAGCACTTTCTAGCTGAAGAAGAATTTCTTTAAGAGAACCAAGAGAGAAGAAAGTTAGGGTCCACAGAAACTCCCTTCTAGGACACATCTAAGCTTCTTTTTCAAATGTACTTTATTACAAAGGCTGTTACCAGCAACCTAGCTGTTTTCTTGATTCTGTAAACAAATCAAAATGATCAAAAACAATTTCCTAGATATCATCTCTAAATATTCATATTCAAGTTTAAGAACTTCTATGACCTCAGTTCTTAGATGAAGCTTAAGTTTTCAGCTAAACGTTAAACTCTTCTCTATAGATGGGGAAAGTTGTGTTCTTGGAAATGCTTTGTAAACATGAGACATCTCAAGCTCTTGCTTTAACTTTATGTAGCATCATGTTCTTACAGCAGAATGATACAACTAAAACAATTCCAGCACACTGACAAGATTAGAAAACAAGGGAACTTCTAGCAAAGAAGGCAGTGACACATTCATCTGCTAAATCTCTCATCTTCCTGGGAAAAAAACTGTAATTAAACATTCCACAAAATTCTCTGAACAAGAGATGACTTAAACTTCCACGAATTTCTCAGTTATGAGCAATGTCTACAGAAACGCTACAGGAACCTGATTTAAGTTGTTGACCTTTTGAAACTGTTTCAACAACAATTTTCAACAACACAAAAAATAACCTTACTCTTTATCTTTGCTATATCTTCAAGTTCCATGTTCAGTCCTGTTGAAGAAAGGAAAGATTTCAAAAAGGATGATTCTATGTCTCTTTCATTCCTAGTTTCTTTATGGCTTTTCAGAAATTATGGATATGAAGGTTAGAACTGTGTATATAGAAAGACATCTTCTGTGTTCCACTTACTGTTTTCTTTCGTGACCCCTCACATCACATTGGTTTACCACATCTTTTCATGTTTGTCTGGCAGTGATTACTAATTAACAATAATTCATTTACTAACGAGTGTAAATTTTCCAGAAACTGTTAGGTCAAGTTATTTTCCAGTTCTTGGTAGTGGCACCCTATAATCCAAGTGAAACAGTGGTTTGTGGTTGTCAACACACCTGAGTTGGCCAACTCCATATTGAAGTCAGCATTTATTTCATTCTGTTGAACTACTTTGGCTTGTTCTTCCAGTACGACATTTATAGCATCCATTGCCGAAGCCAAATCATAGGGTGTCAAGTCAAAAGAAGATGATTCCTCACACAACTTCTCCTAAAATATACGGAATGGAAGCATTATTTGGACTGCTCAGTGTGCTATTTGCTCAGGCAATTTCATAGATGATAAAGACCAGATGACCAGGCTTGATTTCATTTCTGATCTCCAGCTCAGGCCAGAGGACGTTTTATAAACACCTGAAGACTTTGACTATTACTAGGCACCCTTTTTTTGGAAATGCAGAACAGATTTTGCCTCTTCCACATTATCAACATTCTACCATTCTCATCTAGTAGCAAATCCCTGTCATCAGTAAAACCCCTTTCGTTTTTAATAGGTGTCACCTCCTCTGTGTTCTTAGTGTTGCTGCTAATAGATTTTTCTTGACATCCTTTTGTTTCTCCCATGCAGTTCCCAAATAGCTTGCTGTCTGACGACAAATTGTTCAAGTAGCAAATTTTTTAGTTAGAGAATCAGTTTGTCCTTCGAAAGAGCTACTTCCTGGTCCCTCTCACACTCTTAGGAAATACTCGTATCTCTATATTTGCTCATATGACAACATGGTCCTTGCCCCTCATGATCTTGCATTCACAGATGGGGGCATGGAGAAAAAAGGGAAGGAGGGGCCATGAAAAAAAAAAAAGCAGTAAGATGCATATTAATCATATGTAAAATTTGGGCCAAAATGTATGCTAGAACAAATATTATTATAGAGAAGGAAGGAAACTTTCTACTGAAAAAAAAAAAAAGCAATGGTTTGAACACTCATCAAACCGATAAGTTTGACAAAACTCTATGACCTTGAAAAATAATTCACATATTGTTTTGTCAAAAAGAATCATCTTCCCTGAGGAATGAAGAGAAATAGTAAGAACTAACCTACACAAAACTTTGACTGCAATAGCTATGAGGAAATAAGTTATAAAGAAAAAAATGTTGAACTAGCTGCATGTGTAAACAATCTAATCAGAAAGAAATCAATAATTTTATTTCAGAGTGATTACTGAGTTTCCACATATTAACCTGGAACAGACAGTTCCACGGGAGAACTATTGCAAAACGAGTAGTTCTAGAACAGCTGTTCTCGCTGCATGCAGGCATCAATTAATATTTTTAAAACACCACAAATGGAAAAAAAAAACCAAAATCCAAACAACTGTGACTGGATTTCCACCCATATTTCAACAGAAGAAAAGGTGTTCTGATGAAAGGAGCACATACTGGACGCAATTCTGCAACTATCTCTAGTCAAACATAGCACACCCTCCGGTGGCCTGTTTACTGAAAGAACATGGAATCAGAAAACAAACTTTGCAGCTGTTTAGCAGAAATCCCACTGGGAGGTTGTTCATGCAGTAGAAAAAAGGGACATATTTCAAACGTTGCTTTGCATTTCATTATTTAGGCAAAGGGCTGCAGTTTCGAGCCAACTGAGAGGAAGATCTCATAATGCAACATTTTTTTTTTTTTTCTTTTTTCTCTATGAGTGAAGACTTGGAAATATTACAAGAGTCACATTTGCCATCTGCTGCACTTACTGATGCAGCTGAGCTTCAACAATGGATCTTTCATGATTTCTGGAAGAGAACTCTCCAAACAAGAAAACAAGTGCCCTCATAAATTTGGAGATCCACCCTTCAGGAAGAAACTATCACCTTGTAGAAAATCACAGTAGTGTCAAAGGACTGTTAATTAAACTACAAAGCTTTAACTGTCACAGAAACAAGAAATATTCATGATAATGAACATTAACAACTGAAATAGCTGAGTACAGATTTTACAGACTGTTTGTAATAGGGCATGGGTCTGTTCTTCTCTTTGGGTGAAGTTTGAAAAATGGCAACAGACCAGAAACAACTTACCACATTGTGAGCTTCATCAAGTATTACCACAGTCCCCTTCAGGTCTAAGTTGTGCGCTCTCCGGCTCTAAAAGACGAAGAAGAAAACAAGGGAATGGACAAAAAGGTCACAGATTTGATTGACTGAGAAACTGGCTCATGAGACAGATTTGGGGTTTCATGTATTTTAAATACTTTTTTTTTTTTTTTGGAAAACAGCAAGTAATCACTGTGGTTACCTAATATATAAACCACAGAATTGTCTTCTTTGGAAATGAAGTTGATAAAATGCATCATGTAAAAGTTTATGGAGGCTTCAACTTATATTGTAATAAAGAAAAAAACCAGTTGTACCTTACTAGGATACACAAGTTTATCAGAATTAATTTCAGTCACTATTTTTGCCGATAGGGATCTGGGAGGAGTGGGGTACGAAGCAGGGGGATTTGCCTTGTTTTTACAAATTCATGCTTGTGTCATCTTTACAAGAAGTGGATGCTCTAAAAACTCCCCTGACAGTACCAGATCACATAACTTCATTTCACAATGCTTCTTTGCTTAAGGTGGTCAGAGATTTTTTTAAATTTTATTTTATTTTTTAATTTATTAAACATTTGGTCTTTTTGCCTTTTGTAGCAGTGGAATGTAATCTGGCTTTTACTATAATTCATGAATTACTCCAAGTTGCATGAAGAGGTCAGCAGATTTGTTTCCTAAACAGAGTTTTCAAAGGTTTCATTCTCTATCCATGAAGTATGGACAACTTATTGCAACAGCTTTTTTTACAAAGCCAGAATTTATTTCCAAGAGAGATGTCCAGTCTCTACAGAAAAAGTTTCCTTATTCTAGAAATCATGTAGCTGGCTGCAGAAACAAAAATGTCTCAGAATGCACACAAAAATACTGCATAGTATGTGACTGAAGATTTGTATTCAGGAGGTGAATATTACCAAACAACAAGGGCATCACATTCTGCAAAGCTAATTCTATAAATATAGCAACACCTCAAACAAGAAAAGAAAAAAGAAAATGTTTAACTGTGGGAAAGAAGAACTTTACAGAGAAAAACACAAAAGGGCATCCTTTATGGCTCTGAATTTGAACTGGGTTTTGACTAGTTTTGAAGTATACCACATAATGCATTCACCTGCTATGCATCAGTTCATCACAGCTTATCCACTAAAAGCCAATACAAGATAAATAGCACAACTTTTAAACATTTAAAAGCAAAGATATATGTTACCTTCGAGTCTAGTAAATAGTTGTAAGGCATAAAAATAATATCTGCTTGCTGCTTCAGGCTTCGAGAGAGATAATAAGGACAAGCTCTGTTTAAAAAAAAAAGTAATATGAACTATAAAGTAATACTTGCAGAAATATTAAGAGTGCATTCAAGTACTATGTTTCATACTCTCACGGGTTTCTAATCAACTTCTTAAGGAGTTAAAATTGGCATGTTTAATTTTAGGGCAGATGCTTAGCTCTATTCACACAACACAAGTAAAAAGAAGTGTAGAAAATAATACCTAGTGTGCAGCTCAACAAAACAAAGAAAAAAGAAATTAAAGGAGAAAGAGTGGCATTCATTAGTGCATTACCATTTCACCCCTTTAGGCTAGAAGTAAATGCTGCACTAGACTATTTTATCTCAACAAATCAGTCACCTCATCCTCTTAAATCTGAAACAAAACTGCAATATCACTTGTCACGTCAGATGATATGAGCCTCTGCTCAAGCAAGAAATAAAATATTGGTGAGCCTGACTCTGAACTGATTCAGTCTTTACACAAATAAGGATTGAAATAAATTGCTGTATGATGAAAACTGCAGTAACAGAAGTTAAGGCTTTAGTGCACACATGATTTTGTTGGAAGCTGTCTCTGCAACATATTTAGCCACTCCACTTTACTCTCATCATTGTTCTGCTACTTCAGTGTATGTCACATTCATAGCAAGGTATCAATAAAAATGACCAGATAAGTAGTTTTCACAAGTAATGGGGAGGAAGGTCAGAGGGGAACATTTACCTGTGCTTGTTTCCATTCTTAACCAAGTCTTCGATATCCATGATTGATTCAACGAGTTCTCTCTCTGTACTCTTTTCTGTGAAAAATTACAACATTACAACCACAACCTTAGGTAAAAGTATCACATAGATTTTTTGTTACCCCAACCATCACAGTCATCCACTTCTTAACACTTTATTCTTGAAACAGATTAATGCAGAGCAAAACACACAGGCAGACTCTGCCAACTCTTTCAAACTTCTCTACCTGCCTAGCAAATCCCTCCCTCTCTAAAAATAGGGCTTTACTTCCACAGCCAAACTCACCTTCCACATTGTTATAGAAATGACAAGCACGAGCCATCACCTTCATTCGGCACATGTAGATCTGCAAAAAGCACAGCTTGTCAAGCACTGAAAAGCACGGAAAGGGGTGAAGAGCTATTAGTTTTCTGCAACACCAGCTGATGAATAAATGCTAATCACAGCTCTTCAGTTTTAAAAGCATGTGTTCCTCTGTCCACCTTAAATCCACTGAGATGCTCAGAGGAAATTTTGTTATATTTTGCCACTAATATTTTTCAAAACAGTAATCTTTTATATTACTTGTAAAAATAACAAGCAAATCAATCACCGAAGCACTATTTTGAAATTATTTTTGCCATTGAAAAACACTTAAGTGGCAGAGCAGAAATTAGACTGCAAACTATTAACCCTCCCTCAGGTTCTACACAATGACATCCTTCTCTGGATGGAAAATGCTACCAGAGACACAGAATTAAATTTTGCACTCACATAACTAGAAACTGAAAGTTCCTCAAAACACATTTAGAACTACTATCTTCCCCTACAGCCTCCAGTAGTTAAACAATGTCAGAATTAAGAATTACACACCATACGCCAAAACAAAAAACCTCCATGTTCTCACCGTGCATGCTTTCAAGGCTCTGTTCTCACCTGCATGTGGTTGCTCTCCTGTCGCTTCACTTCAGGATTGATGCAAAGCTGCTCTCTGGAACCCAAAACACATATCTTTGGCCTGTTCAAAGAGAATACACAAAGCTGATGTTAAAAATAAGGCAAGAAAGAAGAACACAGTTGTCCATGCGTAGGTTTGGTATCATATATCAAAAGCGAAAGGTTCAGGAAAAATAGATGAGCTTAAAACAAGGGTCAGAATCAGAAACAATAAGTACGCTAGTCTGTTTGTAACAGCTATATATGTTATTTGACTTCATGGTACTGTATTTCTCCTGGTAACAGTGGGTGGTAATAAGCAGCAGGAGGTAATGAGTAGCAGCTTACATCATCCACTATAAAATCTGGGTTCTGTTATTACAGTTCAGCCAAATAAGCTGGGGCCTTTCATTTATTACAAGCTATTCCAGAGCTGACTGTGATTTTCAGAGTAAGGTTATGACAAGGACTAATGCACTGCAAACATTCACAATAATTTTTTTGGTTATTACAAGGCTGTATCTTTACAAGAAACATATAAACAAATGATTACTGCCTGTCCAAAGAGCTCAGTCAACACACTCGCACGTCAACAGCTGAAAACTGTGACAGACATTGGTATGGCGAAAACACAGAGTTCTTCATAGATTTACATCAGCCTAAGGAATCCAACTTTGTAATGGCTTCCCACTGCCTTAAAGAAATACCCCAGTTAAAAAAAAAAAAAAAAGGAATTTTAGAAATAAATGTGTGAAGTAAAGAGCCAAAACCAGACGAAATTCAGGAAATTCTATGATCGAAGGAGATAAAAGAAGCTGTGAAGTATGAAAAAAAAAAAAAACCCCAAATCCAACAACAAAGAAATCCAGGTTCTATACATGCACATTAAGAGAACAACATTTCAGTGGATATCAGTTTTTTTATGCATTCATCCACATAAATTCAAACAATAACTAAACCAGATGGATGTCTCCACCTGTTCTTTGAACAGGAACATTATCCTAAATCATATTTACCTGTAGACTGTGTTCTTTAATTCGTTAATGACCTGTGTAAGTTGTGAGTGAGTTCTGGAGGCATAAATTATTTTGGGAATGTCAGTGTAATAAGCTGCCAAACAGAGCAGAAAAAAAAGCAGAAAAATGTTATTAGCATGGAAAGAAGAACTAGAGATTTTTTCAGCCTCCTTTCCCAGCTGGTACTATGGTAACAGTTTGCCTCGTAGAGACAGCAAGAAATTGTGTCATCTAACTATTCACACACACAAAAATGAGCTAAATGAGTTTCTAATGTTCTAAGAAATATGTAAAACACCTTTAAAATCTATTAAAAGGTGTGAAACTGTGCTGCAGCTGCTAAACAATGGCTCCATGACTTCTATAACTACATACTTATTATAAAAGATAGATAAAAGCAAGTGTTCATTAACATTCCTGTATCGCTCCCACTGAGCACTAAAATCGCAGTACTTACTTGGGATATCAGCATCTGTAGCAGCATTGCCCCAGGATGACATGGGTCTCTCAGGAAACAGTTCCACTCCATTCATACGCTGTGCAATTTTGCGGGCTGAGATAGTATCTTTAAAGTGTTCCCGCCAAGCCAGAGTGGAACACAGCAGGCAGAGGGTCTTTCCCGTGCCTGTAGGACTCTCCAAAATGCCATTGACCTTCTTTAAAAAAGAGAAATAAAATAAAATGGGAAAAAATGAGCAATTTGGAGATTCCACTAGAACAGGTCTTTGTGCAGTACTGAATTTCCTCAGTAAAAAAACCAATCACTATCTGGTAAACTGTACCATACGACAGAAACACACACATACCCCACATAAGGTTGTTATAAATGCACGACCTGTAGGACCCTCTAATCAACTTGGCGAGGCTCAATCTAAAACCAAGAGCCAAACATTATCCTTTATTTAGCAGAGGAATTCTCCACTCTTAGAGCAACTAGAATGCGTCACACTTCAGCATAAAATACATGAAAATATTAGAAGTTATTGGAAAAAACAAACAAAAAAATCCCCAACAAAACCAGAAAGTGACTCAGATTACAGTCTGCCAGTTTCCTTTAGAATTAAGACTATATCCCACATCACAGTTTAGGCAGAAAATTTTCGAAGCACTTGTAAACACTTAGTCCTACTGGATGTTACAATTTTAAAGTGCATAAAAATACTACAAGTTGCAGAAAAACTAGCAGCTGAGCTTGCGCTGCCATGACAATTCGTGTTCAATTGCATTGAAAGAATTTCTATACATAACAGGCTTACAACACTTTCACTTTAAAACGCGGAGGTACCAAGCAGGAACCAAGGCACTGCCCATGACATGGAGGAATGCTGAGCCACATGGAGCCAAAGCTTCCACAATAAGCTTGTTTGATCTCTCAGAAGAACAGGGACAACGGAGATCTGTTAACCAACTCCAGAACAAAGATAACTATTGTAAAAACCATTTTCTTATTTGACATTCATTCAGTAAGATTATCCTATGGTAGATACCATGATGAATTACACAAATAGTCCAAGGACTAACAATACAAAACCAAACCCCAGGTATCTAAGGACAGACTGCATGAACACAGGAACAACTTGCTCAGCTTTTCTTCCTTTTCCCAAGTTAGGCAGAAACATCCTATCTACATCTTTACTGACTGCCACTTGCACACTTCTAGGTTTTTAATAACTATTTACTAACTCAAAAATACAAGTAAAAGAAGGCCAGAGAAGATTTGGAAAAGGTGGGATACGGACACCGCAAAGTAAACTTGAATTGTGACCACCTCTTTTTAGAGAAGCCATTTTTTACAGTTAGAAATGAAACACAGTTAGTCAATGAACGGCAACGCCTCCGGGCAGGCGGCACTCACCTTCTGCAGACACTCCAGCACCTTGGCCATGTAGGCTTCCTGGCACTCGTAGGGCTGGAAGGGGAAATCCACCGTGATGCCGTTCAGCGTTAATTTGGGCATGTTTCCCGCCAAGAACCTGCAACGAAGCGCAGGCCCGGGGCTTCCCCCGCCGGGAGGGGGCTGTGCCGCCGGTGTCACGTAGAGCGACGAACCGGCACCGGGGCAGGTTCACTTGCACGACGAAATGCCGAAAGGCCCGGCTTTCACCTCATATTTCAGGACGGGACGTTACCGGCGGACCCGCACCGCAGCCCGGGCAGGAGGCT